TGCTAGATGAGGCAGGAATGGTTGACTGCTTTGTTCATTGTCAGTATAAAATGTCCTTGTGCATTGTAGGAAAGCCTCACCACCCACCCAATATCCAAGTCCCTCATCTTCTTAAGCCCTTTAACAACCTCATTTCCTAGCAGTGTGCCAGCTGATGAAAATGTTATGGGTAAATTCTGGCTGAAGGTGGATAGGGGCACGCGATTCGGTGGATCATGCAAGAAAACTGTTTGAAAAGAGGAGTCTGATTCACCTGTGAGAACATTTTGCCTTTTATCTTTTTCCTTCCTTCTCGCTAGCCCATAGGGGTCAAGGCTGGTGGTGTAGTGGCCGTTGGCAAACACTTGCCAGGGACGGTGGCACGGAAAGGCAGAAGCAGCCTGTCTTTCTGAAAGTACTGTGGGGCCACCAAACCAGCCCTAGACTAATGTCCCTGGGATTCTTCCATCTGAGTAGAAAAAGAACACTCCACATATTCACCTTGAATTGTGCAAAATATTTTAGACGGCACTCAGTTTCAATAAGGCCCACTTATTGTTCATGGTATAGAAATACAATGTTCAAAATAAACACTAGCTTGTCTTTCAATCTCTTTTAGGACAGAATCTAACAGAGAATCCCTTTTCTACTTTATACTATTTTACCTTCAAGAAAGACCCCTACTAGTAACCATTTCCATTAACCAAAATAAATCTAAAGAACATTTTTGGTTTTTATGGAAAAATGCTTAAAGTGAAACTAGTGTTCAGCATTTGTTAGGCAGCAAGTCCTTAAAGAGGCAGCATGGCCTCTGAGCTGGGGGCGTGGCTTCACTAAGCCCCCTCCTACCCTGAGCATCTCAGCAGGGAGGCACCACAGTGTTGAACTGTGCCTGTGAACACTCCAGAGGAATGCTATCTTAACGCGTACGTGTTGTTTGGCTGTATTATTTGGGGAGGGGGTGTTAGGAACTCCCAAGAAGGTTTTCCAGTGATAAAATTATGATAATTGCTTGCTTGCTGCATTTTATTGTAGCTTATGAAAGGTTACAGAATAACACTGTACTTTTGGATGGGGGGGGGTGGTATATATTAAAGCTGTGTTTAACAGTATCAGAACATATTAATATGTAGGAATATTCACATGTTCTTTTTAAAAGATAATCTTTATGGATTGGTAACAAGTAAAACAGGTAATTTGGGAAACTCAAAAAATAAGTTATATTTACGTTGAAAGTGCTTAGAGAGGCCTGGGCCAAGAGACTTGCCCAGACCCTGAAAAGAACACACAGGAGTAGCAGAGGTGAGATTTGGGGAGGGGTGTGTTTATTATCTAAGTTTCGTTTCTGAGTCCATGCCAACTGCTAGCTTCCCTGAAGAATAAGGTGCAAATGTGTCTGTGGGTTTCCAAGGGTATAAATCTTTACAGGAGCAGAACACCTCCTCCTGAGAAGTAGCTCCTGGAGTTGAACTGCTGACCTAGTGGTTAGCAGCCAGACATGTTATCCACTACAGCACGAGGGCTCCTAATTTATACAGAGAGGGTTACTAAGAAGTTTTTCCTTGGATTTTAAATACAATTCACCTTCAGTGCTTTTGACAGGTTACAGAGACTTAATTTGCTTTTAAATTAGTTCGTGGTGACCACACTCTTTTCCTTTGAAGAGGAAACCTTGGGGAGATGGACCCAGAGGAGGAAATAAACAACAATAAAATTGGACTTTATGTAAATTAAAAGGTGACAGTTTATGAGGGGCAAATGTTTGCTTACATTATATTTACTCGAATCAAGGTAGGCTGGGAGAAGAACGGCCAGACCTAGCACTTGTCAATCGTTGAGCTTTCTGAATTCTAGCTGGGTTGAAGAGTAGGGAGATGTGGATATGGGGAAAGAATAAGCAAGACAAGCTGAAGAAAGAGCTAAAATATATTCAAGTTGTCTTTGTAGGAACTAATATGGGGGGTAGTGGAGGATTCTAGGAACGTAGTTTCAATAAACTATGAGATGAGGAAAGGACGGAAAATGAAAACTGAACGCTTTCTCATTTTCAGAGTTCTGATTTTAATTTATAAGCACACTTACCAGAATATTGAGCAGTTGGCTGCATATTTCCCACGCTTCTTCTTTGGTCTTTATAATCTGGGGGTGGCCTTGTCAAATGTCTGTTTATCTGATCTTGTGGAGGAATTTTCTCCTTGAAAACAGAAATGAAAATGTGATCAATTTTAGATAGGTACTTCTTCCCTTGTAAAAAACTATGCACAATTAATTCACGAAAGTAAGAATACAAAGGGACTTCAAAAATTCATGGAAAAATAGAATGAAAAGAAAAAGGATATGTATATATAAACTTTATTTCTCAACATAAGTTTCATCAGGGACAGGACATTTTTGTAAGTGATGATACCAGCCATGTAGTCCAACCCTAAAGAATTGGCGGTCTTGGAAATTTAGCCATGCCAATGTCGTCGTGTCTACATTACAAACTAATGAAAACTGGTGCCCTTCAAAGCGTTTTCTTAAATTAGCAAACAAAAAGAAGTCAGAAGGAACTGAATCAGGACTACAAGGAGAATATCTGATTTTTCCCATCAAAACTCTTGCAAAATGGCCTTGCTTGAGGAGAGGAATGAGCCAGAACATTGTCACGGGGGCTGGGTGGGGTGTACAACTCTGGTGAAGCAATCCTGCACATTTGTCTTTTTCATGTATTTTATTAGCTCCTTTTGGTTTTACAATTTTTTTCCTGGGAATTTTTCTGCTAAAGTTTTGGTTAACTTTCTGAAAACCCTCTCAGAAAAGTAGATATTATCTCTCATTGGCCACCCATAATATCAAAAAGCAAAATGCTTTCAGCATCCCTAAAAAGCAAAAAACAAAGACCTGTTACCACGACCTTTGTCTTGACTATACCATTTCCACCTGTTGGTAGTCATTGCTTTGATTGTGCGTGGTCTTCAGGACCACATGGATAAAGCCATGTTTCATCTACTATTACAATTCTTCCAAGGAATTCTTTACGATCTTGAACTCACTTGTTGAAACTGTCCATCGAAAGCTCTGCTCTTGTCTGCAGCTCCTGTGGGAATCCTGTTTTTGTTCCCTGAGCAGTTTCTCAGCACGAAGTTCCCAGTCAGAATGGCGTAAACGGAAGCAATGGAAGGATTTATGGTGTTGGCTATTATTTTTGCTAGTAGTTGTTGCCCCCTTCAATGAAGGCATGAGAAGGATTAATTTTTTCCTAAAAAAATTCAAATGGGTGGTCTGCTACTGAGAGTTTTCATCTTCAAGACTGTCTCGTCCCTTCTTTAAAAAAAGTATGCATTTGTAAACTGTTGGTTTCTCTGGGACCCCGTCCTCATAAACTTTCTGTAAAGCATCGACAATTCTAGCATTCTCCCACCCAAGTCCATAAATGATAGTGTTTGCTCTTGCTTTAATATTAGTAAAATTCAAGTTGTTCTTGTCAAACTGGTATGTTAGCCTTCTTAGTGCCTCACACTAGATCTGGTTCAGAGATTTATAACAAGTTAGTGTGAGCTCATTTTGGGGAAAAAGAAATTTGAAGCTAAGTATAGTTTTGTTTTGTTTTTTAATATTTTGCCTTTTCTATGAAGTTTTGGAAGGTCCTTTGTAGAAGAACAATCATGGTTTGTAAATCATGGACCTTATTTACCTGTCTTAATTCAGAGACCCAAACCGAAAAAAAGCAAAGCAAACTATTAGCCCACTAGTGGAGGTCAACACATATAGATCCTGCGGGGCAGAGTAGAAATGTCCCCTGTGGGTTTCCGAAGCCGTCAATCTTTAAGAAAGTAGAACGCCTCACCTTTCTCTCAAGGAGGGGCTGGTGGGTTTCAATTGCTGAATTGTGCTTAGCAGCCTCACCTGTAACCCATAAGCTGCCAGGACTCCTTAATTCAGAGACGAATCTTTTCCATTTCAATATATTTCCTGAATTGTAATTCCTCTTGGTCTTTAATATTCAACTTAGCGCTAAAAACTGTTCCTATTTCATTTTCTTGTGATTAGATTTCAATCAGAACTAAATTTAAGTTCAGAGACAGCATTTGTAGTTCAGCCTATAGCAGACCTTACAATACTTTGGTGGAAGCCAGTTGCTGTCGAGTGGTCAGCTGTGGCTCACAGTCACTCCAGGTGTGTTACAGGCGCACTGTGCTCCACAGGGGCTTCGGTGACTGATTTTCCAAAAGATTGTCAAGTCTTTCGTGGCTGGTGCTTCTGGTTGGGCTTGAACTGCCGATCTTTCAGCGAGCAGCCAAGCACTTAATTGCAGCACGTCGGACTTCGGCACTTAGATATAATTTTGGTTCTAAGGAGTAGGAAGCACACACGTGAAACTGTCGGATAAAATACAGGGCATTCTTTACTTTTATTTGCTAAACCTGGCAATCTGACATAGGAGATATTAAGAGAGAGCTAGTGGGCATTGACCTGGAAACTACATGCATGCTACCTCATAAAGAACTGTCAAAGGTAGATTTCTTGCTTACAATTTCGTGGATGAGGAAATGGAAATTAGTGAGTCAAGTAACCTGCCCAGAATCACATAGCGATGGCATACCAGATCTCAGCCACCAACCTAGGGACTTTCCTGTCACACAACACAGGGTTCCCGTGCTGCTCCTCAATGTCTCATTCTAAAAGCATACACATTTCCCAGGCTCCTCCACACACCCTACCCCCCCCCCACCCTTCCCCCTTCGCCCTACTCTTTTTGACTAAGCTGCCTTTATATGGTTTAGTTTGGGAACTAAAAGAGAAAGTAGGGGACATTAAAAATACTGTCTATGCCCTCAGTTGAAGACCACCAAGAACACCTTTTGGAGGTTATTATTATGGGGTTATTATTACTCATTAGAGTTAAGGAAAACACACATCAGGCTAGACCATGGCTGTCTCATTAGGAGGGTGTTAAAGTTCTTATTACAGGATTGAGGCTTTGATTGGGTGATTCTGTGGCGGGTTGTTCTCATTTGGAAGCTGCAGAAACTGAGGTCAGCGCCCTGATTGGGTCGTGAAACAGCAGTCATTCATTTAGCACGAGGGGGAATGCTTGGTATTTAGTTTGTGGGTTGTGCAGTGAGCTTGTTTGTGTCTGTTCTCAAACAAAATTATGTAGTGGCCTTACTTTGCCTCACTTCATGCTGGTCTCAGAGCACCCAAGTCTGAGCTAGCTCCTCTGTAAGAATGTTTGTGTCCAGCAGAGAACTAAATGGCCCGGCTGTGAGTGCCAGCTCAGGTCTGGCCACCAGGGGCTGCTCCTCCTTCCTGTCTCAGGATGAATCGGGTAGGCTTGAGAATCCCTTCACTGCACCTCAAAGCAACTTCCGTTTTCAGAGATTACAATAATTGACAAAGGTGGACAGAGAACAATATAATGACAGGAAGATCAATAAATAGAAAACAGAACTTTGTAATGGATAGATAAGTAAATGAAAGCCAAATATGGGCTGCCTGACTTTGAGCTCATTTAAACCAGGCATTTCTCAGTTCCCCACCAAATTTCAAGCTTTCTGAATGAAAATAGCCTACCAGAAAGGGGGAGAAAAATCCTAAAGACGGCAACAAACTAAATTCAAATTCTTACTTCTAAGGAAAAAAGACCTATGTGTAAATGAATCAGAAACATATGGATTACATTTCTTTTAAACATGGGTTTACAAAGTAAGGGGAAAGTGGTTGGCAAAACTCTTTTTTGGTTTTACCCAAATGTTTCTAAATGTTTAAGAAACAGCTTGAGATGTTTCACAAAGCCAAATGTGGTGAGGGTCAAGTATTCCTGTGACAAACTACCGGGCGGGGCTGACAGTTCTGAATTCCATGCCAAATACAGGGCTTTCTGACATCTTCCCTGAAGGTATCTATTGATCATTCTTTCTTTCTGATGTTCTAGGTTATTTCAGTTATTTATGCGGAAGAAAACAGGATTTTGGGGGGCGGCGGGTGGTGGTGGGATTTGGTTGTTCTCTTTCATAGACTCAGTTTCAAATCTGGATTATAGTGATGGCTGCTCAATCTAATTGCCGACGTACTTTTCCCCCTTGAGGGTTAAGTTAGGTTGTTCAAAGAGTTAACATATACATTTCTGGAAACTTGAGTTTCTTGGACTATTTGTTCACAATGAGCTGGAATTAATGACCTTCCATAAGAACATATCATAAAGCTCTCATGTGATCACTCAGTCCCGAAGAGTCCATCCAATATTGAATAGAAACATTTTGCAAGAGAAGGTAACATTCCCATCCTACCCAAGTGTAAGCTCACAGATGGTTTCTGCCATTACTTCTGTGCAACATCAAAGTTATCAAGCAATGTCTCCTGATTTTGGACCCTGAATGGTACAGGGAGTCCTTGGATAATGAATGAAATACATTCCTGTGCTTAATATTCTGACTTACACACACACAGACACACACGTGTGTGTGTGTGTGTGTGTGTGTGTGTGTGTGTGTGTGTAAGTCAGAATAGGCATTTATTTATTTGGCCTTGCTTACGTATAAGAAGAGGAGCCTTGGTGGAATAGTGGTTTATCCGCTGGGCTGCTCCTTGAAAGATGAGCAATTGGAAACCACCTGCTGTTCCAAGGGAGAGCCAGGAGGCTTTCCACCCCCGTAGAGATGGACAGCCTCGGAAGCCCTCAGGCCAGTCCGCCTCCGTCGCTAGGCTTAGCATGGGCCAGAATCAGCTTGATGGCAGTACTGTTTGGCGTACTGTTTGTTGGTGCAAAAATAAACCCTCAAAGCCTTTGCAGGGACTTAGAAGCTGCATTTACAGTAAGTGGAGTTGATTGTGATGAAGAATTTGTCGCAAGTAGAGGTTGGTTCAATCATTGAAAGGGAGTCATATTACACATGACCTATAGGGCAGGTAGCAGTCTTCAGTAATTCAGAAGTTTGCAATCTAGGGCCTGCCTGTACATACCTGCTCTGCTTTATGTGTATAATTATAGGAACTCCTCTATAATCATGTTATAAAGATGAAACCTTTATTCCTGTAGACATTCAGTTCAGTGTCTGGCACATAGTAGGAGCACAATACACATCAGTAATTATGTTCATCATAATTACGAAGTACTACTTATCTCTCCCCTGTGCCTTTCATTGACAGGAGCGGAAAGGGGAGTAAGGAGAACACACTCCCCTGAGAAAATGTTTCAATTTAGGCTCCTATCTGGTGTTGCCAACTGACTGCAAATGACTACAAAGCATATGCTAATGTAAAGTGCTATCAAAGACTGTTTCTTCCTGGATATGCTAAAAAGTGCCGGCACCCTCAATGGTGTCCAGAGGAAGAGACGTGTGAATGGTTTATAAAAAGGATGAAAAGGGCGGCAGCCTCATTCTTATTCATCTGGACAGCCTCTGCATTGCCCTTTGCACCTGTCCCAGTGGTGACTCGACTGGGGCTCGGTGGGAGCTAGTCCAGTGCCAGCCAGGACTCTCATGGACGGTGTCTGCTACTATTTCTTGTCTTTTAGTTTAAGAGCTGAAAACACAGACAGTCCACCTCTGCATACCATCCAATGAGTACCCTTAAGAACAGTCATGAAAGTGTACCCCATAAGTGAATCTTAGATTGTCTTTCTCTTCTGCTACCCTTCTTTCTAGCTATTAGGTTTTTAAAAAGCAAAACAACAACAGAAAGAGGGGGAAGGAAGGAGGACAGGAGTTTTGGAAATGGAATTCTTGGAAAATACATGATATTGCTTGGCAACCTAGTTAGGGGCTCCCTGAATCTTGCCTCTGCGGTGTATTGAAAGTCATCCCTCATTTCTCATTATTCCCTATTCAAGGCCCAATACACCTATTTCTTATGAGTCCTTTTCATGTGTGCTGGCTTCCAAACATTTCATTCATCACTCCTTAAAAAACACATGTAATTGCTATTCTATTATTTATACTTTATGCAGGGAATATTTCATAGTACAGTTTCACATTAACCAACATATACACTCAGACTCGACCGTTTTGCTTCTGGCTACACTCTCCCTTGGAATGCTGGACCCACTTACTCTACCCACTTGCTCACTGCCACTGAGTTGATGTAAATCTTTATGGTAGCAGAAAGCCTCGTCTTTCTTCCTCTGAGAAGTTGGTGGGTTAGCTACCTAAGGAACACTCCATTACACAATTTCTCTAGGGCGGGTATAATCTTTGCTTCCACTACAGTTTTCCCTCACTCTGCTTGCTTTCATTATCATGCAAATCTGAACCTGAACTCCCAGTTTAAAATCCTTAGCATCCTCCCCATTGCTTTTCAGACAGTGCAAACTCTGGTTTGGCAAGTCCTAGCCTCTGGCCTCTCATCTGACCTTCTTGCCCATCACTTCCTTATCCCTCTGCATAGTCTATGCCTTGACAAATTCCATATCCTCTTTTGGGTCTTTGGATCTTTTGAATATGTTGGTTCTGTTGGCTGAACAATCCTCCACCTTTTTCCCCATCTCCATTTCCCTTTCAGATGTTCCATAGACATAACTAACTTCCCCTCTGAAACCATTTCAAATAATATCCCTGTACTCTCTCTGGTTTCCTTTCCTCTCTCTCTCTCTAACCCACTCTTAGTGTGGGTAGGATGCCTATTTTAAGTACTCCATGGATACCTTCAGGAGAAATATGAGTCTGTCTGTTCCAGCTAAGATTTATAGTCTTTCAAATCCTATAGAGCAATTCTACTCTGATATAGTTAAAGTTTATTGTGTCAACCTGGCTGATAAATACATGTGGGGTTAATCGAAGGGTGGAGGGATAAATAACTTGGTGAACCTCGCCTTTCGAGTTCTCTGGTTTTTTGCTTTCTGATGGTGGGGCCAGGGTGCAGCTGTCTTAGCCAGGTCCCTGCTTCACCTGGCAAGGCTCACTTCCTGCAAGACATCCCCGAGGAGAAGCCACATGGACCTACCCCTATGCAGCCCTGGGTGCTAAAGCAGCCATGTGGAGACTCCTGCCAGCGCTGAGATGCTTACATGTTCACTGATTGGGCTTTCCTTCTGCAGCCAGTGTCATTGCGTGTGTTTTGTGAGATGGAGGAGGACTTTGTGGATTGGTGTCGGATATATGGGCTAATGTTGAACTTATGGGCTTGGGCAGCACTGGGTTGGGATGTTTTCTTGATGGGCACTTAGTTTTTATATAAAACTCTCCTTTATACATATGTGTTTCTGTGGATTTTTTTCTCTAATGTATCAAGACGAACACATACTCTATCCTATAGACCAAATCTTACTGCCATATGGTCAATCCCAATTTATAGTGATCCTATAGGACAGAGTAGAACTACCCCTGTGGATTTCTGAGGCTGTAAATCTTTATGAGAGTAGAAAGCCTCATATTTCTCCCTTAAAGCAACTGGTGGTTTCAAATTGCTGAGTTTGGGGTTTGCAGCCCAATGAGTAACCTCTTCACCAACAGCTGGCATCAACTCAACTGCAGTGGCTGGGGTGGAGAACTAAACTAGTAGTTTCCACTCCACGAATTTCAATGGTTTATTCGACAGGAGTCCCTGGGTGGTGCAAACAGTTAAGTGCTCAACTACTTGCTAAAAGGGTGGTACTTCCCCCCAGAGACACCTTAGAGCACAGGCTTGGTGATCCGCTTCTGAGTGATCACAGCCTTGAAGACCCTTTGGCGCAGTACTACCCTGGACTCATCAGGCTGCCATGAGTCGGTCTTGGTGTAATGGCAGCTTCAACAACAACAACAGTCATTTGGCATTCTTAGCGGGCTCTAAGCGCCTTAAAAGCGAAGATAGGATCTTTCTTGTTCATGGCTGCATCTCCACTGTACATTAACATGTATTTATTAAGTGAATTATAGCATTTGTCTTACTCTGAAGGTCTGAATCCTTCACTATAAAGACCCATTCAGAATAAAATTTTCGATTTTGTTTTCCTCTTTTCTGCTTACATTGTTGTGATGGGATTGTTGTGCCAACATGGCTCCTGTGGGATCACAAGGGTGGAGTTCAGCCTGTCATTCAGGTTGCAGCTTGGAGGGCAACCGAGATAAATGGCTAGCTGGAGGCTGCTGGCCCCCGCCCCCACCTTCCTGCTCCCCTTCTTCTTCTCCTTCCTGATGGCGAGCCATGCAGTTGAGACCTGCCAGAGTTCTGGAGATGTAGCCACCACCATTGGATCCACAAGACTCTACATCCACTGGCCCGTGATCTTCCTGCATTCTCCATCATTGCATATAGCTGCGTGAGTCTGAAGGGAGATTTATGGATTAGTGTTGGACTTAGGGACTTGATTTGAACTGGGCTGGCATGATTCCTTGATATCCAATTATGCCTTGATATAAAGCTCTTTTTTATACATATATGAGTGTCTCTGGATTTGTTTCTCTCATCGACCCGGTCTAAAACAGTTGGTTTGGTTAACAACAAAGTTGTTTGTTAATAGAGTTGTTGAAATGAACAACTCTGCTTATTTCTTCTTCTTCTCTTTCTCCTCCTTCTTTTCCCCTGCCCTTTGGCCAGAGGGATAAAAGTGAAAGCTATTGGGGCCATGTTTTCTTTGGGGGCAGCTGGGGTTTGGATCGCAGTGTCTGAGTCAATCTGAGAATGACAAAGGGGTGAGCAGATAAATTCTGAAGAAGGGCTGATGCCTGGCTAGTGTGTGGGGAATATGACCTTGCCTTTTTTTCAAGACTGCTTACATGTGAAAATGGGATATGCATTTCCAATATTCTTTTAAGAAAATCCTCTATTGTAGTATGCTTTGATTTGAAAGTCAAATCTTAGTCTTGAAATTCTTCCTTGGCTTTTACAACTGCCTTAAAAACTCTTGTCTCTCTAAAATCAGTTTGGATTTGAGCTGAGCAAAATTCTGTCCACTTTTTTCTGCCCTACAAGGCCGGGGAGGACACTATAGTGATTTCTCTGGCCAGATTCATAATGCCATAATGTTAGTGGTTCTTGACATTCTTGGTCTGGGCAGGGCTAGTGAGCTGAGGTGTTGCACATTCCAACCCTCTACCACCTGGTAAATCAAGTTTTGTTTTGTTTTTTTCTTCCCCTCTCTGTAGCACTTCCCAGGTATGGAATGAGCTTCTCTTATAATGGAGATACCCTTATAGCTGCCACAGAAGTAGACACAGGGAAAAGGTGGTAGCTGTAATAGAAAAGAATGAAGCCCCTCGGTTAGTGGAATAAGAGTCTTACTGCATCGAGCAGCATCTGCGGCTGGAGAAGAAGTTGCTGTGTCTGCTCCATGATCTGCCTCTGGAGAGTCTGTTTCTTCCCCATCAATTGCTGACTCAACAGCGACTGCTGGGGGTTCATGTAACCACTTCCAGTGTTTGGATTTGAGCAGGAGTTGGGACTTGGGCTGGGGCCTGTCTTCTGGCCCACCACAGAGTGCTGATCCTAAAGGGGAGGAAGGAGAGAAACAACAGTGAATTAAAAGAGGAAACAATGCAGCAAATCAGAGCATATGTCTGGGTGCCAAACATTTTTCATCTTATTACCTATCAAACATAGCTAACAAGGTGAAGCACTGGGAATCACCTTTTAAGGGTAGAAGAAACCACTGCACATCACAGTGTCTACAGAAGCCATGGTAAGCCGTGACACTAGAACCAAAACCCAAACCAAATTCATTGCCATAGAGTTGATGTCGACACATCACAACTTTGTAGGACAGGGTAGAACCGCCCTGTGGGTTTGTCTGTCTGTGACTGTTTACGGCAATAGAAAGCCCCATCTTGCTCTTGTTGGAGTGGCAGGTGGTTTCAAACTGTTGACCTTGCAGTTAGCAGCCCAATGAGTAACCACTGGAAAGCTCTCTCAAGATGCTGCTGCTGAGACCTCTGTATTCCAGCATGTGATTAAGGGAACTGAACTTCAATCAATCAATCAATCAATCAATCAATCAATCAATCAATCAATCAAATAAACCATAGACAACCACGAACCCATACAGCAAACTTCTCCTTACTCAGAGCCATCATGCAATAATGCATCTGTCCTGTCCCCTAACGTGAGCACATACCCGGGCTGAGACTAAAATAAACATTAGGTTTCAGTTCAGGCATTCAGAAATTGAATCACCATTTTGGACAGATGGGGCCATGCTCAGCTTTTTGTGATGTGAAGGCTGGAAAGTCTGTGCGTTTCTGTTTCACAAACAGGCTGAAACGCGGAAGAAACTTCCCTTCTCAGGATTTGTTAATCAGTCCGTCAGCCGGTAAGTCAGGCGTCTCAGCCTTTTAACCCATAAAAGAGCAACCAACCAATTGACAATGAGAATAGGCTGGTGAAGACTCACATTGCACATTGAATAATTGGGGATTGGTGAATTCTCATTCTCATCCCAAGTCTCTACCAGTCTGGGGGCACTGACAGGTCAGGACTCATATAGGGGCAAAAAGCTAAGTCCAGTCAATAAGTTTCATTATTTCCCAGAATTATACATAGGATTGATCTGGGCACTTTGAGGGCTGTGAGAGAACAAGAAAACATGCCCCTAAACCTGTAGAATTTGCCATCTACTTCAGGGAGCAGATGCACATGGTAATGACAGAAGAAAACATCAGGTCAAGTTTTAGATAATGTGATCAAAGGACTAAAGCCAAAGACCCTCTCACACTTGCATGACAATTATCTGGGAGCGGGTTTATTACAGGTGTCCTGGACCTGCCTAGAGAGTCTCAGACTGTAGGTGTGTAGGTGGGGGTACTTGCCCAGGCGATTCTGGTGCTCATTAGTCATGAGAGTGCACTATAAGGAATATGGATGGATATATTGCAATAGTAAGATCCAGCTTTCATTCCCCACTGAGTTATATGTGATTATAAGCAAAAAAGAAGAAGAAGAAGAAGAAGAAGAAGAAGAAGAAGAAGAAGAAGAAGAAGAAGAAGGTAAAACTGCTCTCATGATGTCTGAGCAGTAATATCCCTTGCTGTCAAGTGGATTCCATCTCATACAACCCTAAAGGCTAGAATAAAACTGCCACTGTAGCCATAGGCTTTCTGGTGCTGTGCATTTTTATGGAAGCAGACTAACTCATCTCTCTCTTAGGGTGAGTGGCTGGTGTGTTTCAACTGCTGACCTTTGGGTTAGTAGCCAGTGCTTAACCCACTGAGCCATCTCAGTGGCTCAACTAATACTGTAAAGGGACTCTAACATCTCAAACTCACACACATAAATACACATATGAGGGGCTTCAAGAAGCCCAGGGGAAAGTTTAACTGACTTTGTGAAGCCCCTCATAGTCACATATGAAGGGAATTTTATTAACAGCATAAATTAGGTTAGCTTAATCCAGACCAGTGCCAAGTGTTTAGAGAGAGCTGGCTACATTTTAGTTATTAATATTTTGCTTTCTTTTAAACATGTTTATTGTGCAATTATGTAGATTGCAAAGATACAGTAGATGCAATCGCCATTATGAAGGAACTTATCCTGTAAGTATAACTAGTTGACAGATGTGGTATGTTTGCCCCCATCTTGATTGGTTCGACCAACTGGCAACAGTCACCATACCTTGTATATCAACAAGCCTTTTCCTCATTTCTATTATTAGCTTGGCCCAGGAAGGCAGTTGGTTGACCATTGATCTGGGAAGGTAAGATATAGCCACACCAAAGACACACTCACTTGCAGTTTTGAGA